AAATGCTTCTTTTTTGTGGAGTCACTTATTTTCAATGGCTAGACTTTGCTTCTCAAAGCTTAAAAAGTATTTGCTTTTTCTGATGTTGTTCTTCCCTTTTCTTGTTGCCTTGCAGAGGAAGTTTGTGGAAGGATTGACAGACAAAACCAAGGATTCAAAATCTTGACCTTGAACAGTCTTGACTTTAAAAAACAATGCTAGAGGCTTAAATTAATAAAATGTTCAAACAGGGATCTGAATGTAACCTTTCCTCTTAGTTTCTAAATTCAGAACCAGAAAAATAAATATCTCAGTCTTGCAAATTTCCTTAAGGTTTTTGAATTATTTTATCTCTTCAGGAAGCATTTCTCAGATGTTCCATCAGTTTTACCCCCTGGCTCCCTTGAGATTGAAGAGCTAATTGTTATTTGCACTTTCAGCAAGGCTTGTGCTGTTCTCCTGGCACCACAGTCATGAAGTCATAATGTAATTCTTGTTCTTCTTTTCTCTGAGACTATCCCAAAGGTCTCCAATGGGCGGGTAATGAATGATAATACACTCAGGTTGCAGCCAGACTGTGTGTGTATATATACATATTTAGAAGACCGCTTGCAGTACAGAAGATTTAATAACATTCACATTGCTCTGACTTCTTCTTTGACCTATGACCTTGAGGAGAAGTTACCTTCAGAACTGTATTCCTAACTCTTCCCATTTCTGTTCTGCAACTTCTGATCTAACATGCAGAAACGAGAGGTGTTCAAAGTCAAGGTTGTTGAAAAATGTGAAAGATTTTTCAAGAAATTTGGCTTTAATGACTCAAAGAATGCTAGAATTAACACATTTAAACATTTTTAAATTTTTTTTCAAGTAGGGAAACACATTTGGCTAAAAAACCTGAGGAATTTTGACTAGAATTTCTGCAGAAATTATGATCTAGTGTCTGGGCTCTAGTCTAGCCAAAGAGAAAGATATGTGGATGCCTTTAATTTTCATAATCCTGATAATTAGAAACAAAATATTTAAAAAAATCAAAAATTAACCTGGAATAAATACTAGCAGTAGTAAACAGCTTACAAAACTCTTTTCTGTGAGTTATCTATGTTTTATTTAGACAAATAGTTAAAGGTGCAATAGAGAGAGGGTTTGCCTCTCTCTTTCTCATTCTCCCATTTCCACCTATAAACTGTGTTTTGTCATTCCCCCAGCTGTGCTTAAAGTACTGCTATGGCAAATGAGCAGTATTTTTCCTTCAGCAGGAGGTTCCTGAGCTGTTTTCTACTGTCTCTTGCCAGAGACAGGATACAGAGCTAAAGGGACAGGTGGTTTGATCCCATAGTCGCGTACCATCATTCTTATAAATGACATAACTTGTCTGGAAACTTATTCAGGAAATTATCTTGGGTAGAGGAAGTTTACTTTTAGGCTGGGTCATGTGAGGGATGTGGTTTATGCTGCTCCCCTGGTGCATCTCTGTCAGCAGAAGCAGCAGAGGGAGAGGGATAAGCAGCAGTGAAGGGATGAGGTGGAAGCCGTAAGGGTGTGCGGGTATAGAAATGTCAAAGCTATTTATGGCAATGATTCTGATGGCAATATCTCATGCAATTTCAACATTAAGTCATGGCTTTATGCTATAAAGCTCTTCATGGCTAAGAAATCATAGCATTGCTTCATCCCAGCTGTGCAACACCTCTGAGTTTCTGTACTATGGTAAAGCATTTCTCTCCTATACATCACTAGCTGTGATGGTAATTGGGATGGATAAATGATCCTGCTTTTAGAAAACAAACCACTGAAAAGCATTTGGCTTTAAAAAAAATTTTGTTTGCCTCTAAATGAGAAGAAAGGTTGTGTTCCCGCTTAGAGCAGCCCCACAGGGCCTTTAGCTCAGCAGAGGGGATAACATGCTTCACTGAGTAGACAGGGAATATTTCAAGTTCCTAATGACACAAAATCCTCTGCAAGGTAAAAAAATGGCTTCTGACATGTACAACAACCCTTAAATAGCCCCGTTTTGTTCTGTAAGCAAAACCACATTCACCAGCTGCATTACAACTTGTCAGAAGATTTCCAGTCCATGGAAGAAACCTGAGGATTTATGTTTCATTGGGGTAGAAGTCATACCTGTCTCTTAAAACATAATAGAAAATCCTGTATTTATTACTAAAAAGGCTGGATAAATTTTCCTTGATAACTGTCCTGTCCCTTCAACTTCTGCCTTCATAGTGACAGGCTCTCTGCATTCAAGCATCAGCCTGTGATCCCCACAGCTGACGGAAGAGCAAAGGGTAAAGAAGCATCTGTCAACTTTCAATTATCCCGTGGTGGTATCCTGATAATGTCTGTTAGCCAGAGCCGTGATGTCTGGGCTTGTATGTGCTCTCTTTGAATTCAGACCTGACCTACAAAGACAACTTTGGAGACAAAAAAAGGGAATTCAGGACTAACATTCAATACAGAATAGGATGCTTATACTAGGTTGCTTATAATAGGTTGCACTTGGCCCTTAAGCTTGCTGTATTCAGTGAAGATGTAGAACTGAATTAGGTTGCTCAAGCTTTCTTGTGCCATGTCCCAGGACAGCCAAAGTGGATACCAACTACTGGAGGATATGACACAGAAGTTGTAGAAGAGTTTGGTCACCTAGAGGAGCAGCTGGAAGACCCTACAGAGTATCACACAGTCTGATCTCTACATGGGGAGCTGAATGAAGCCTCTAATGTACACATAGATATTTCCAAGCAGCAATGCAAGTATATTTTTTTTAAGCTGGAGCTGAGTCACACACCAGATGTCTACCAGAGAAGTATCTTTGTGAAATATGAGGATACACTGAGACTTGTCTAGGCCCTAACTTTGAAACATAGGGACATCGTGCCAGTAGAATTCACCACAGTAAAGCTCCAGGCTGAAAACTAGGACATACTGAAAGTATAGATGTGCATATATGGGTGGCAGGTTTTTGTGGTTCTTTTTTAATGTAGGAAGGAAATTAACATCCTCTCTTTCCAAGCTGAGTGAAGCTATTTCCTATGCATAAAAACCAGAAAGTGGCCTATGTACTACTATCTCAATCCACTAAAAACATTGAATCAGGAATTTCAAATGCAGTTTAGCATTGCCTGAGTCGTCTTCTGGCTCTTCTATGGAGTTAAGCAGTGAAGGGCGAAAGAAAACTCAGGCAACGAAGAGCTCCTTTATAAGCACTAAGATTCTTGGCCATTCCCAGACAATAAAAACGGACTTAAAATCCTTATAATGGATGCCTTGTTACTTCACTGCTCCTGTAAAACAATACCTCCTTAAAAGAAGTCCACAGCTTTATTTTTCACACTATCATATTCCATTCCACTACAATCAATGACAAAATTTCTGCAGCTTTTAGAAGAGGAATTAGCATGATATAAAGGTATCTCCTCTCATTTCTGTCTTGTCTAACAACAAAAATCTATTATGTAACTTTTTCTAAAACATTTCTTATTCTGGTCTAAATACTTTTGCCATGATATCACAGGCCTTAAAGGAGAACAGGCTCAACATTACTCCCTCCTCATGCATAAAAGCTATGGTATATTCATCATTGCATTTGAGTCATTTTTTGATACTTATTATTTAGATGTTCTGTTCTTTAGCCACTCTATTCTTCATGCAATCAAGAAACCCTTTGCTAGCACAATATCCATGGTTTTATATAACCAAGCCCTATTCAGACAAGCCAACATATTAGACCTCTTTTACTGCAGCTGCACTAAACCGCATACAAAATGTAAAACACTGGCCAAGACATTGAAAAAAAGAGTCTATTTTGAGTGTCCAACTTGATAGTATTGCAAAAATCCAGCATTGAGATGATGGGTTGCTGCTCTATTTTCTTTTAAAAGATGGACGCTAAGATATCCCAGGCTGAATGTCAGATGTGAATTGTCAGACCCGTTTTGCATTTCATTGTAACTATAATTCTATGTGAACTCTAGAGCATTTGGATGCTATCTGAACATCTCATACATTCAAGAGCATTTCAACTGATTTCAACATACCAGCTGCTTCATTCAGTAAGATATGGCTTTACTAAAGCTAGGTCTAATTTCAGGCATTGCACAAAATGAAGGGCTCAAATAAAAGAAGTTGAGCTGAGCAATGGTGGGAGAAGGAAGAAGATGGATCATATATGCAGGATCAAGCAGTAACAATCTTCTTTCTGGTTGTGTAAGAGTTAGCCATCTGCTTGTTTTCTCTGAATTCTGTTTTGGGGAAACTGATCCAATTACCCTCCCTAACCACAGACCTCTTGTTTTGCCTGTGAAAATGAGGATAGGAACTGATTTAGTCATGATGGGAGTCAGAGATTTGTGATAGAAATGGTTTTGGGTCTTGGTTGGGTTTTGTTTGTTTATTTGTTTTCTGTTTTTTACATTTTATATATGATTCTTCCTTCTCCTACATGGGTGGGAGAGAAATGTAACGGATGAACAAATTTCTAACATGAGTACTTGAAAAATTACATATGACAACACTGAGAAATGTACTTTACATTTTCCCCACTATTTTTGTAAGCTTTTCAGCGAAATCCTGGGAAAATAGTTGCTACAGGAACAATATGGAAGCATGGATCCTCAAGTTACTCCTTTTGATCCAAAGGACATTTCAGGCTCCTAGTGGTTTGTGGGCTTGATTACTGTATTGAGCTCTGTGGTCTAGACACTTTTTTATACCTTACTGGTTGAAATGGTATTTTTTCCTTGTCACACAACCCTTAAAAACTGGATGATTAGTTTACTTCTAAGACACATGGTAGGTGAACAAGCTTAGCTTTGCTACGGGTCCAAAATACAATACCTCGTCTGGTTAAGGTAGTGAATGGAGTTAATTAAAACAGCAATGGATCATGGGTGGCTAAACTCCATAATATAAGGCTGAAAAAAGTGAATCAGAGAGTTAGGGAAAGACAATTCCTATGACTTGGGAAGGAAAGATGATCTAGCTTTGTGCATCTATGAGAGGTTGTATCTGACAGGTCCTACCTTACTGTAAAGTTGGAAAGTCTTCTTTGCAGGGCTCACTCTTCTTAATAGCTGTGTCTCAGCACTGCCTCATGGGATGGTATTCTGTACACCAAGACAAGGTCACTTGAAATGTAGCTAAGGAGAGAATGAGGAAGGAGTACAAGAGGTGAACACCACAGGAAGATTTTGCTGCCCTATTCCTTCATCCATTTTTCTTCTCTGATCATGTAAATCTCCCATCATCATCTGCTTGGATGGTTACTGTAGTAATAGTTGCCTTTACACATTACATGAGGAATGGGAGGTGTTAGGTCGTGGACTGGCTCCCCAGTAGTTCAAAGCCCATGTGGGAGGCACCACACTTCCTCACAGACAATCAAGCTGTCTGAAGATGGAATTTTGTTCCTGGCCACCACATGCCCACCCAGCTGCTTCCCTGCCAGTGAAAGCTGACTTCATGGGGCAGAGGAATTGGGAGCTCTACTCAGGAACTGCTCTGAGTCACTCTCTGAGAGCCCCAGCTGGCCTCATTCTTTTGGTGCTTCAGTTGGAAAGAAACAGAATGTAGTTTCACCCAGTCTGTCTCCTCCAACTTTTCACCAAATATCTAAGTCAGTTCAAAACAGAGTTTCTGGATCATGGCAGAATGTGAATGGCACTAGTGCAGATCTCCAGAAGCTTCTAACCTGCTGCAGGATGGACAAACTGAGAGGATGAAATCCTGCAGGGACAGCACTGCTCCAACAGAACATGACCTAAGGTCATGCTGCACAGAAAGGTGCCTGCTGACTTGTCTTGATGGGAGGTGCAACTTTATGAAGTTGCACATCTGGCAAAATTGCACTTCAGTCTTGTTCTTTGCTGTGGGAATTTCTGAGTTCAGTTGCTTGGGACAGTTAGTTGACAATAACTTTTATCTTCTGTAAGAAAATTTAGGATGTCTTTTCTCCTCATTATCTCTTTCTCCTGCTCTGTCAGGGTCTTTATTATAATACAGGCTTCCAGCTTGTTTAGAAAGACTTGAGAGCATTTTTACTCCCATAAAATAAGGTCAATTACTCATTTTTCATCTATTGGTATTGACACACAGGTTTTAAGACATTCTGTAGTAAAGGAAATAGGCTCTTTATCCTGAGAAAATTGTCTTTGGAAGTATTCATAGACAACTTAGTTGTGTATCATGTCAGTACCTCAAGGCTGATGTATCATTAATTTTGGACTCTAGTCAAAATCTAAGGTGGTATTCAGTGCGATGAATAGATAAACACTCTAGACTGCTGAGCAAAAGCTTTCAGATTATCTGTGAATGTCTGTTATAATGTACTTCAAGGAAACTGTGCGTTTCCTCTTTGTCTGTAGAAGTGGTGACCTTAAATATATGAGGATATGTTACCTATGCTTTCTGTTCTTGTGTCTGACTCATACCAAAGCACCTTGGAGCCCTGGGTGATAAAGTGCAATCTTCAGAAGATCAAATGTCATAAAGAAAAATACCTTGAGAACCTCAGAAAACACAAATGTCATTTTCGTAAAAGCATGTGTCCCACAGAGATTCTTAAGATTACGCAGACATGGAATCTTTTTTACTAAGAGCAACCACCAAGAGTCCTCCTAAACATAACACCTCAGATGCAAGTGTAATATTTTAAATAATAATTTAATTATTTTAGTGAGGCATGGGTTTTTCTCCCTCCGTCTAAAGTAGCAGGTGCAACTTTTCAGCCTTGTCCAACAGTTCTTACTGCAAAAAAGCCTATCAATCTCCCCTTTTAACTCTCCCTTTTATATAAACTCTCCACACAGCATGAAGATGTTATAAGCTATTATAGTTATGAATATCATGCTAACAGCCTATCAATTTCCAGCAACACACCTTTTAAAACTCTTCTCAATTCTCATTTTCAACTAATGTAATTTCATCTAGAACATCATTAAGATGTGTTTTCAACCCAAAAATATTTTGCTGTATAGTAGTCCTATTAAACATTGCATCTTTTCTATTTTTATGTACAGGTACAATTGAGACATATATTCCTTTAAGAAGTACAAGCATTCTCTTACATTTAGCCTCTTTACCCTTCTAATACATGTAGCTCTTCTACTGAAGATTCCAGAATGCTTCAATCAACAGATTGGCTTCTGTATTAGCATCTGTCTTAAAAGTTTTAAATGTGCCATTTCATTTCTGGTAGTTGATCCAAATTGCGTCACAGTTGTCTCTGCCCCCTTACAGGGCACTACCTTAACACTGTGCTATCCACAGCCAAATACAATGATGGTGAAATGATGGCTTGAAACTTTTGAAAAGTGGCAAAATCTATTGAAGCTTGTTCAATTTTCCAATATATCTGACATTTTCTTAATTTGTGCTGGTCTTAAGCATTTGCTCCATGTGCTATTCTTGTTTTTCTCTACACTTCCCAGGATTTCCAGCTCTCAGCATTATGGATTTTCATGCACATTTATTCTATTATCACCAATAACCTCCATATGCTTCATTCTGAATTGAGTCACCTCTTTTTCTTGGAAAATTAACTCAGTCACTTGTAGCAGTTTCTAAGTGGTTTTGTTCCATCTATAATCCAATCTCTTATCACAGCCCAATGAAAGAACTGCAATACTGACTGTTTAGCTTCTTCTTTATGAGGTTTATTTAAGTATGCTCACACTCTTTTTTAAGTCCTTTGAAAATATTTCATATTTACATAGCGTATGATGCATCCTTTTCACTTCTGAAGCACATTTTCATAGTCAATAGCTGACTTAGATGCCAGCAAACTCAATTTGGAAAAACAAAACCTTTTGAATTGCATTTACTGTAGCAAGAGATTCCTAGCAGCCAATGTTTACAGCCTAAAAATTTTGTGTATTTCTGTCAGTTAGCATATTTCTAGACAGCTTCCGTTCAGGCTTCTGCAGCTATCATATCGCAAAAATGCTGGGAAATTGGACCATTTCCAGTGACATCTCATCACCTCTGACAGTTCAACACCCTCCTGAGCAGTGCCTCTGGGCCCTCTTTCACAGCTTTTCCAGCTATTGGGTGTCTGAATGTTTTCCTGCCCATGGTAGGGCGTGGAATTAGAAGGTCTTTAAGGTTCCGTCCAATCCAAACCATACCCTAATTCTATGATACATATATTTGGCAGTTTAGATGTTTGTGGTACAGGATACACCTCCTTGGCTGCTGTACTAGATTCCCTATAGAAAGGATTTTCTTTGGTATTTCCTAGATATCCATGAAGCCATAACACCTCTACTGGCATATGGATATTTTTCGTATTTTATAACTTGTTAGCAGTAGTCCACAAGCAACTGATGTGATCTGTCTGGGGGGAGCTCTTAGAAGCTTCAAAAGAGTGCAGAATACATCAGATCACCTCTTGCAATTACTTGGAAAGAGTGTGCTCTTTTCTGATGATAAAGCCAAGTGATAGTTACAGCCCTTCAAAGGTAAACTGGTCTGGGCTCCAACCACCATAGGTTCCTCCTATCGCTGCTGTGTCTTGAAAGAGCATTTAGGATATTTTTGGTTTTTTCTGTTTTTTTGTTGTTTCTTATTTTTTTATTTTGTTTGTTTGATTGCTAACATTTCACTCAACAATAGGAGTAAGTGAAAATTCCCACAACCCACAATTGTCCGTATTTGCAAGACTTTAAGCACAATGCAGAACATACATGATGAATTGTCTCATAGTAACAGTGCTAGTTAACATCTTGTGTTTTGGATTATGAGCTATGACTCATCAGTTTATCTCACTGATTATGATTTCACTGCTCCCTTCTGCTTCCCCAGCTGTTGTGCTCACTGGTAGCTGCTTACCTTGGACTGTAAGCTCTTTGGGGCATGAAGTACCTTCCAGGAGCTGTTGTATCATGTCAGAACAATCTGTGTCACAAGTTACCCTCTCTGCTAATGTAGCAGAAAATAAGTGGTCATATTAGTATGTAACATTGCATGCCTTATGTTCTCAAAATCTAAATTTTCTTTTATTATTTACTGAGAGACCTTTGTCCTGAAAGCATGTTTTACTATCACCTTGGATCTTGCAGAGAGTAAGACTCTGATCTTACAAAGTCCCTCAGAAGTTCCAAACTGCACGAGTTGCAGGTTGAAGTGGAAGGACCCAAAAGCCCGCCATACCTCAAAACAACGTTAAAGAAGGGAGGAGGAGCTGAGAGGACCCCAAATAAATTCATTTTATTGAGCTGTAACACTGCATAGCAGCAAAGATCTCAAATGCATTTTTGTAAGGGCCAGTTGCAGAAGTCAGATTTCAAAGTAGCACAGGAATTTCTTTAATACATCCTTAAGTGCACTTTTCCAAATAGACAGGTTACATTTCCATTTTCGTTTCATCTTTCCCGGACTTTGAACTCCTTCCCCTCTCCACTTCTTTTTCCTTATCCAGATATACTTAAAGTGGTTTAAATTTTTCTGGGGATTTCTTTGGTCTATACTTCAGAAAATTTACTGTTTTCTTATAAAATTTTCTTTTTCTTTGATTTACAGCTCTTTTGCTATTGTCATCTCTTGTAAGTATCCATAAGGTACAATAACTTTCTATGCCTCGAGGTTTTAAGACTTCTATTTAAATAACTTTCTGGTGATTGACTTTTTTACTACAAGTCTGGGAATTTAAAAGATGCACTTTCTTGTCAGAAAAGCAAAATTGGATATGACCAGCTGAAGCTCTTAGTGGTCTAAAACTGGTCTCATTAACTGATCACTCAATATACAATCAAACTTTCCAGAGCATGTTTCAATTCAAATTTCAGACACAATAAACTCTCCTTTTAGGCTTATCAAACTGAAGCATAGCCTGCTAGGATCATATTCTGCATGCAAGGAAATTGCCTGCTGAAGTTCTCTTCAGCCCATGTTGCACATATCTACAAGGTCATCAGTAATATATATATAAAAAAAAGATTGTGTAAAATATGCTCAATGGCAGCAAAATTCATATTCCTGTAATATTTTGCTATTAACAGTGGTGTTAGGGAGTTTTAACCTAGAAAATGGATATACACTAAATTTAAGTCAATAACTAATGGATGAGAATTAGGATTAAATTTAGTTATAGTTTATTCTATGTTTGCAGATTATATATTGCTGATAACTTTAATGTTTAGTA